ACATATAGGATAAGGATTGGATGTGACATGACCATTTTGGGGAAATGCACACTTACCACCAATATCCATTCCACATACAACGTTTTCTGCCACGAACGAGTAAATGATGAAGCCTTTTAGTGAAAAGGCAAGCCTTTCACACTCGTTTATCTATGCAAAGGAAGCCACCAAGTTACACGCGTTGATCGATGGATGAACACGAAATGCTTTTTAATTGATTTTCATTTAATGAATTTGATTTTAAACGTCTTTACTTTGCGACATGTTGCTAGTAACGAGTTTGGAGTAAATAATTGAAAGTGTTTAGTTGTTTAATAAAATAATTAAAAGGACAATGTAAAGAAAGTTTGGAGAAACATTTAAAAAAAGTGATTAAGGATATGATATAATTTGTAACAATTATTAATGTAATTGTTATGAAATATATATATATGTATATATGTACATAGGTATTCTTATACGTATAAAATATATTCAAGTTATAATATACTAGTTTATGTTTATTTTTAAATATGTATGCAAAGTACGTGCGGATAATATGAATATGGCTCATTCCACGGTGACGGGTGTTACATGTCCACATACAATATTTAATTCTTAAACGATTATAGAAAATTCTTTAAAACGATTGTTTTCAGTTAGATTACATCGATAGATACAATGCCTACAATGAAAATCTCAAAAGTTTTAATCCAAAAGAGTTATATCAATTTTAGTCGCTGTGACGGTTGTGAGGAGTATGCAAACCAGATTAGCTGCTACTTACGTGTATCTTAGAATTCTTGCCAAATATGTATGTCTTCTGCTTATGGTTTTAAATATGTAGTTCATTGTATAGTTAAATACAAATTTTCAGCATTTAAGGCGATGTTGCTTACCTGAATTTCTAACTATAGCTTATATGTTCCAAATTCAAGTGTGACGGGTGTGACATGACTTTGTGACGGACGTGACAGACAGAAAAGTTGAGCATGAATAAAGAAATCAATATTATTGTACCATGTAACTAAATTTATTTCCAAATAAAATCGTATTTTACAAATACACTACAGACCCTGCCAACTAATGACGGGATAATTCTTTCTCGAACGTTATTGTGAAATACGTAATTTTTAAATAGTCCTACCTGCACTTTTCGTGTATTTTTGCGCAGAGCCCATATCGAAATTTACAAAAGTACATATTTGAAACCAAATTAATTAATAAACTAGTGCTCGGGAATTTTTATTTTAAATTAAAGTTGAATATTTTTAGTTAAGAAAACCATCCAAAATCATTGGACGAATTGTTTTCTTCATTGATCGTTTAAATAACGCAAAATTCATATCATATCGTAAAATCATATGGTCCAACCTAAAGTGAAAAAAAAAATATTCTGAATTTAAAAAGCGTGTCCGACGTGGCAATATTGTGATTCGATTTGTGAACAGCCAGAAAGACCTTTCTGTCACATTTCGGAAATCAGTTTCAGAAATAAAAGTTGCAAGATGTGACTGCAATTGAGAGAGCGCAAATCGATTTCGTAAATATACTTCAACTTGCTCGTGCTGCACTAGCAACCTGCAATTCACCTTTCGGAAATAAAAAGAAAAGTTTGAAAGACAATTTACATGCAAGGTATGACTGCTCATGCAACTGATTTCTGGCATTTCTCAATTTGCTCTTTTCGAAATATATTGCATTACCAAGTCTGACAGGCTCTCAAGGTAAATTATGAAATCTAGTGCTTCAGCGTTGAAAGTTGATTTGTTTATTCTTACTTTATAGAAATAATACACTCAAATTTGTAAGTTTATATATCTTCATTTCGTTCGGTAACGATTAGCGTGGAATGAGCCATATGCATTATACCTGCATATCGTCGTTTAAAGTACAAAGCGCGAATCGTTATTCTGCGAAACCGCGTAACTGACATTTGCTGCCAAAAATTGGATTTTATTTTTTATTTTTATTTTTTTTTACACACAGGCGGGTTTGCATTTTGTTGATACGCAATTTTGTACTTTAAACGACGATATGTATGTATGTGCATATTAGGTATCCCTGTCAAACTAACACGGTATCTCCCGTCAGCAAACAAGCAAACAGAGCATAAGCGTCTCGGTACAGCAATAATTTTGAAAATGTAGACTACGTTTGCCTAGGAACCAACATTAACACCGATAATAATGTCAGTGGGCGTGCAATTGAAAAGTAAAGTACTCGCTCGACGAACGAAAATTGCACTGCCTATATTTATCATCATATCTGTACTGATGGCATCATCTGTTGTGACCGAGCTTCGAGTGTTTCGAGAGAAAGATTCTGCGTAGTTATGAATCCCCCTTTAAGCATTTGTGAAGGCGAATACCGGGAACGTTGAAACGACAAGCTATATGGGCTTTGCAGAGACAAAGGCATAGCACAGGCATCATTTGTTGTTGTTGTAGCAGCATTCAAATTCCCCAAAGAGTTTTTGGGGAGTGTTGCTGGAGTGACAGTCCCTGGCCAGATATAAATCTGAGTCGTTCCGGTTAGATAGACCCGACTGTCGTGGGAACGACGGAGAGTCAGTATTTCGATCTGGAGTTGCTTGGTTGCTATTGGATCCGAATAAATGCTGGACAATTATTAGAAAATAGAGGTTTGCAATTTTTTTTATTTTCATCGATTACGAATGATCAACGCCCAAAATGATCCAGTGATCGACAACGATGGAGGGACAAGCCGATCTAGGCAACTTGCAGTGATCACCCAGTTTTAATGATACTTCGAACGTCTATCTATCTATACTTGAAACACTTATCAATAGAGATAAGACAGGATGTTGGAATACACTCAAGGATATTAAACTATATCAGCAGTTTTGTAAACCCGCGGAAATTTTGAATAATTTTACATTACGAGTCCCAACTGCCGAGTTTATATTCCCTGCTGAGAAACCCGCTGAGGACATTTGAGAATTGGAAATCGGCGTATATTTAAAAAAGAGTTTAACGCCCATCCCTACTTAGTCTTCTATATATTGTTGACAATATTTTTAAATTATTAGATAATCCCATGCTAACATTACCAAATATCTTGCATTGACAAGTTGTTAGTATGCATCATTAAATCAATATTTTTTTTTTTTAGTTTACTTACTCGAACTTGCAAAAACTGAATGGCTCCAATGCAGGAATTTAATGGAACTCAGCAAAATTGGTATTTCTTTTGTAGAGATTTAGATGAACAGAAAATGGAAAGGCTTTTAGCTATCTTTATGATAATAAATATGTAAGTATGTCTTCTCCTAACTTAGGATATTTTTTCGTTTTAAGATCACATTTACTTTCGTCACAATGTTTTTCTAATTTTCTGCATAGATGCAACTAATATGAAG